ATCGATTCCTTGGCCCTAATGTGATATCTTGGATCGGATCAGGTCACCCATATCGGTCTAAGAGTGTTACAACGTGTCTGTCAACATTTGGGAAGATGCTTGGATTGCAAGTGCTGGTTTTGGAAAATTTAGTGGGGAGGTTCCAAATACAGATTATTCAAATGTAGCGGCGTTAATTGAGCCACATAATCATACCCGAAAGAGTGACCTTATTCTTTCTTTGTTCACAACTCTACAAGCTGTTCAAACTCTTTGTATTACTCTCCCTTCTTGCCCATCTCCAGACTTCGATTTTGGAAGAGAGATCAATCTGGCTTATACTCTGTCCGCAGTGATTATCGGTGGCTTATTAATGCTGAATTAGGACTCTCTGGTGATCCTAATGCTCTTGAGGAGAACTACTACAATAAATTGTACAAATCTCGTTGGTCTCTTTCTCTACCTATGAAGATTAAAATCATTTTTTGGCGTTTCACGCACAATTTACTTTCCACTCCTACGAACATGCGAATTAGACATATTAATGTTAATCCCCAATGCTTGCTTTGCCATTCTAATAAAGAATCTACTACACATTTTGTTCATGATTGTGTTTTTCGTGCAGCAAACTCTATTGGGAATGAATCTTTCTACCACTGAAAATCAAGATGATCAAAATTTCATTTTATGGATTGTCAACCTATTTGAGTCTTATTGTTCGATTAAACGCAGAAATTCGTAGTGATTTTATGGGCTATTTGGGGCACTAGAAACAAGCTATTACATGATGAGATTTCTCAATCTGTGGAAGAGATTGTTAGATTATCTAACCTCTTTATTCAAGAATTAGATTTGTCTCTATCAAAAGCTCCCACATCTCCTACTGAAGATTTATTAAAAGCGAATTTCGGTGCAAGTTTTGACAGTGCATACTTAAGTTCTGTTTCAGGAATCATTATTGGTAATTTGGAAGGCTTGGTAATGGCTGCAGGAACTTACCCAAATTCTTATGTGGTAACCCGGAACAAGCTGAAGCAATTGCTTGTGTGCAGGCCCTTATCCTTTCGAAGGATCTTGGTTTCAGGAAGGTTATTATTGAAGGAGATTCTTTATCCGTCATCTCCAAACTACAGATTCCTGCAATAGATCGCTCAATTCTTAATATCAATCTGGCCAACATTATCAGGAGAAAGAGCCATTTTAATTTCCTTCTGTTTTTGCATGTTCATCGTGAAAGGAATAAAGCTGCTCACCTCTTCACTCGGGTTGGCTTGAAGAAGTTCTGTCCATAGTTGAAGCAGTGGTGTTACAGAATCGATGGTGGGTTGATCCCCCGATTGATAGCCCTTTTCCTTGTTTTCATTAGAGTATTCCAAATTTTTGCCTCCGATTCTATCAAGGCGTTATCCCTTCTCTACTATTTTCTTTATCTAGTCTTGTTGGTTTGCTTCAATGGGCTTTCGAATGGTTCATCTCATACCTTGTTTACTTGATTTTTTTTTTCGTTCGTAAGTTGTCTTGAACTTTAAGGAGCTTGTTTTTAAGTTTTAGCTTTACTTTTCCATTTGTAATTTTGAATTCTCTGTTCGTTAATAAATAGGGTAAAGTAAATAATTGATCTCAGGTTATAAGATACTATTTTGATGAGTCTCTTGACTATTAAAAATTATAAAATGATCCCCTAACTATAAACGTTGCTTTGTTGAGTCGTCTTACTATTAAATGTTATAAAAATAATCACATGATTATTCATTATGTTTCAAACTCGTTCTTTTCTGTTAAAAAAATTGACGGTAGTTTAGGTTGGACCATTTGTATACTTTACCCTAATAAATAACAGCTTTACTGGTTAAAAGAAAAACTTCTAAATGATTTTTTTTTTTTGTACATTAAAGTTTAGGTCAAGGGCGGCTCCCCTAGTTCAGAGTCAGGCATACCTAAGATCCAATTAAAATTTTCATAGGAATTTACAAATTATCCACCAATAGTGATGGTGGTAGGATTCGTGCTTGACCTTACAAGCTCAAATTCTTGAATCACAACCACTTGTACCAACACTCGTCGACACTTCTAAAGGATGTTTATTTTTGCATAAAAGATCATTTTATCAGCAATAGTGATTATTAATCAGAATAATATATCCTCGATAATTTTAAATTTTTAAGTATATGTCAATTCCGGCTAAATTTGATAATATTACATCTAAAATAATATTGTTTTTCATATTGGTCCATTTGTTGTAGATTTTTTTTAACTAGGTAATGATTTATTTTGGATGTAAATTTATTAAATATTTTTCTTTCATATTAATTTAATATATAAATGGTATTACAGATTTAAGCAATATTTTTATCATTTAATATGTATTTTTTAATAAAAGACATTTATACTTTTTTGTTTTTATATTTTACTATTGAATCTTCACATTGTTTAAGGAGATATTTAATACTCATGTTATTTTTTTTAGTTTTAAAAATATTTTCCCTTGATTTAAATTGAAATAACTAAATATTCTTCGATTTATTCTTATCTTTATACAACAACAATACATATCCAAATCACAATTTTAAAATTTCATTTGACTCTAGATTTCGACATTCATTTATGATAATTTATATATATGATTCTGTAGGGGTTTAAACATGTTTAAGGATTATATTATGTGAAAATAATCTCAGTGACCAAAAATGCCTTATAATATACGATTTTAACCAACTTTTTTTGGATTTGCCAAAATGACCAACTAAATCGCAATGCGATTGATAATTCGTAACGCGATCTTCGGTATCGCAAATTAGTTTCCAGATTCGCAACGTGAACTTCGACTATCGCATTGCGATTTACATATTCGCATTGCGATAGTCCAAGTTCGCGTTGCGATTTATTCCAAGTTCGTTGCGATAGTCGAAGTTCGCGTTGCGATTTATTCCAAATTCGTTGCAATAGTCCAAGTTCGCGTTGCGATTTATTCCAAGTTCATTGCGATAGTCCAAAATCGCAACGACGATATTGCATTTGTTTCTTAAGAATTTTCTCTAAAAAGATAGTATTCGCGCGGACGTGTCGAAGACACGTATTACCACGACCACGAGACGAGACGGACAGCGGCGGCGCGCGAGGGTCCCCCTTGTTCTCTATCACTCAACAAGGAAGTGGGAAAGCCAAGCCTTAAATATCATTCCCAATTGTGTTTTCAATACTATATGGGATTGAGCATTACCAACACTTGTTCCCGATACTATGTGGGATTGAGCCTTAAATAGTGATATTATTTTTGAATGTTTTGCTTAAAATTGCAATAATCGCGATTGATTGTAGATTGACTTTTAATTATGACATATTTAATCGTATAATACTAATGCAATTGGTTGCTGATTCAGTTGTTATAAGGTGAATGATTGTTAATTGTTTCCTGAATAATCACATTGTATTGGAAACAAGTGTTGGTAATGCTCAATCCCACATAGTATTGGAAACACTATTGGGAATAGTATTTAAGGCTTGGCTTTCCCACTTCCTTGTTGAGTGATAGAGAATAAGGGGGATTCTCGCGCGTCGCCGCCGCCGCCGTCTCGTCTCGTCTCGTCTCGGGTCGTGGTCGTGGTCGTGGTCGTGGTCGTGTCTTCGACACGTCCGCGCGAATACTATCTTTTTAGAGAAAATTCTTAAGAAACAAATGCAATACCACCAGTCGTTTCGCAACGAATTTGGAATAAATCGCAACGCGAACTTGGACTATCGCAATACGAATATGTAAATCGCAATGCGAGCATTGTGATAGTCCAAGTTCGCATTGCGATAGTCGAAGTTCGCGTTGCGAATCTGGAAACTGATTTGCGATACCGGAGATCGCGTTGCGAATTATCGATCGCATTGCGATTTAGTTGGTCATTTTGGCAAATCTAAAAAAGGTTGGTTAAAATCGTATATTATAAGGCATTTTTGGTCAATAAGGTTATTTTCTCTTATATTATTCATTTGATTAGAATTAAACTTAGATAGAGTGAATCTTAATTTTAGTTGAATAAAAACAAATATTTTTATTTGAATTTAATTATAAGATATTTAAATACTAATAAAAATATATTTCATATTATTTAATATACTAATTGTATTAATGGTATACTAAATAAGAAATTTTTATAAACTTTAAATAATATAATGAAAATAGTTATATGAGTTTCCGTACAAATATTTTCAACTCAATATTTATAATAATTTGGTCAAATTTATTTCTAAATAACCTTATCTTCTCTGAATTAAAGGTCAATTTGACATTACTTTTAAAAAGTGATTTTTAAAAGTATTGTAGAAACTTTTTAAATGTAACGTAGAAAAAAACTTTTAAAAGTGAATTTCAAAAGTGTAATTTAAAATTTAACTGTTTGATATAATTATCCAAAATTACTTTTAATAAGATAAAATATCCCTTTTAAACATTATATTGTAAATTAAAAACATTGATTTAAATTTATTAATACTTTAATATATAAAAATATCAAATTAAATTAAAAAAAATAAATGAAAAGTATAATTATAATAAAAAATTAAAATGAATTTTTAAAAAAATTGCTCTGCAAAACGTAATTAGTATATAATTAATAAATAATTTATAAAAACAATTGAATTTTAAATTCTTTTTTTCTTGGTAAAGGAGTGGAGCTTATGCATCACAGTAAGGGTAAAACCATAACTTTGCTTCTAAGCGGAATTTGAACCGGAAAAGCTAGAAAATCTAGTTTTGTGGTTGGTTTAAAACCACTGTTTTAAACGCACTTTTACTTTTAAATTTTATTTGTTTGGTAATGATTTTAATTTCAAACCTGACTTTTAGACCAAAAGTGTGTTTAGATAGTATTACCAAACGAACCCTAAACATTGTAATAAAGATCATCGGATGAGAAATTTGGATCAGGCAGATATCCTTCATTCCTCATCCCCAGCAATAGATTTTCCAGAATGTCATGAATCTTACCTAATTTGGATTGTGTAGCATGGAACATGTAAATCCTAGAACCTACCTCAATCCAGCTACTTCCAGGTCTCTTCGGCAGATGCTTCTCTTTTATCATAGTTCTGACTTTCATTGCATCTTTCCATCTTCCTGTAGAAGCATATACATTGGATAACAGAACGTAATGTCCCGAATCTTTCTGATTTTTCTCTAAAATATGCTTCATTATACACTCAGCCAGATCAACCTTATTATGGACTCTGCAGGCACCAAGCAAACTCCCCAAAACGTTCATGTCGGGTTCCACCGGCATTCTTTTGATAAGATAATATGCATCATCAAGGTGCCCTGCTCGACCAAGAAGGTCCACGATGCATGAGTAGTGCTCCATGTCAGGTGGAATATTGTAATCATACACCATAGAATGATACAATGACCAGCCTCTATCAACAAGACCAGAATGACTGCAGGCTGTCAAGAGAGTTATAAAAGTGACTTTATTAGGTCTAATTCTTGCCTCCTTCATTTTCTCAAAGAATTGAAAAATATGTTCTCCAAGTCCATAAATCCCATGAGCAGAGATAATTGTGTTATATGTCACAATATTCCTTTCCTTCATCTGATTGAAAACTCTTACTGCAAGTTCAAGACTCCCACATTTGCAGTACATATCTATTAGTGCATTTCCGACCGAAACTGCTGATCCAATATCACTTCTGGTTGCATAGGCATGGATTTCTTTCCCATATCTAAGAGTTCCAATCTTTGTGCAAATTGGAAGAATGCTGATCAGGGTTATGGAATTCGGTCTGAGATGGAAATCCCATATCCGCCGAAAAATATGAAATACATTCTCAACCCCACCATTCAAAGAATATCCTACAATTATTGAATTCCATAACATAATGTCACTTTCTGACATCATCCTGAAAACGTGCTCTGCTTTTATCATTGAGTTACAACTGGAATAAAATTCAACCAATGAAGCTCCAACAACAATATCGGAATCAAACCCCTGTTTTAGGATGTAACCATGCATCTCCTTCCCAAGCTTCGAAAGTTTTAGCCTGGACAATACTGGAAGAACACTTGAAGCAATAACAGCATTCGTTCTTATTTGTGTGTCTTTCATCATGATATACAGCTGCAAACTCTCATTGTACTGGCAATTTTGTGAATAGCCAGCAATCAAGGTACTCCAAGAGACTACATCCTTATTGTCCATGTTACAAAATAAAGAGTACGCAAAACGAGTGGCACTGCATTTACAGTACATATCCATTAGAGCATTAGAAACATACAAATCACTTTCAAAACCACACTTTATAGCACATCCGTGATGGGTCATTCCCATTTCCATATCTTCAAGTCGGCCACAAGATGGAAGAACGGCGACCATAATTACTGAATCAGGTCTTAGGCCCTCTAATAGCATCCTTTTAAATAAAGACAACGCCTCAAGCCACTCTCCACTCTGCACATTCCCACATATCAGTGCACTCCAACAAGCTAAATCTTTCTCTCCTATTCCTTCAAAAACCTGTCGAGCTTCACTTAGACTACCACACTTGGCAAACATATCTATCATTGCACATTCAACATAAACATTGCGCTTCATATTATATTGACTCTCATTCCACACTATAAAATCTCGAAGCTTTTTACCTTCCTCAATATCATTCAACTCAATACAAGCCTTGAAAACAAGTGGGTAAGTGAAATTATCAGGAACCAACCCTTGACTAACCATCAAGTGGTAGAATTCAATTGCTCTGGAAAAGCCACCCGCGTCAAGAAAACCTCTTAGGATCGCATTCCAAGCAAGATTACTCCTCTGGGGCAATTTATCAAACAAAAACAGTGCGTCTTCTAGGCAGCCAAATCTAACGTAAACGTTAACAAGCTGTGAACCAGGGACCTTAATAGCATCGCTGGAGTTGAAGAATCCGTTGACAATCAAAGTAGCATGTAATCTTTTGGCTTCATAAAGATTCGATGGTGACCTAAGTTGAGAGAATAGGGAGCTATGCAAAAGAGTTTGATGACTGAATGAATGTGGCCAAGAAGAGACATTGTTGTGTTGAGCAGTGGATTCATGAGGGTTTGGTTTGGTGGAGAGAGTTGAAATTAGTCTTCCAATAACAGGGGATGTTCCAGTCGGTGAAGGAAGAATTTGTTTGTGAATCTTGATGGATTCCCTGGTTATTGATGGCAGCATTTTCTTCTCAATTTCAAGGGGCCACGTAAATTGTTAATGAAAAATAAAGTCTTAATACAAATATAAGTGTACAAACTATGCATCAAAAAAAAAATTTAGTGCTTAAAGAAATTTTCACTAAAAATATATGTTTAAAGTTTTTATTAGAGTACTTTTAGGTGTCTAGATCGTAACAGTCGTTAAATTTTATTGTTAAGTGACACGTGTCACGTTATAATAATTTTAAAAATTTATTTAAAAAATTTAAAAATTAAAAATATTTTTATTCATAAAAAACCAAACAACCCATGCGTTCCTCCTTACGCTCCCCCTTCTCCTTTCCTCTTTCCTTTTCCATAATCGTCAGATGGCCAATTGTGACCATCACCGCCACCTTTAACGATATCGACATCGACCTCCAATCAAACTCCCGTTAGTCTTTCGTCGTAAAGTGCCATCGTTTGTCGTAGAGAAGTGTTCAATTTTTTTTTTCGGATTTTTAGCTACCGTCGCTGTTTTTTATCGATTCCGACCGATCCTTACGTCCATATGTCACACCGCCACCACCATTCGAACCATCGTGCAATTCTGATCAAAACCAAAGTATTCAGGGACGATGGTGGCCGGAGATGGCCGACAATGGTTAGTAATGATGGTTGAAATGAGATATTTTAGTTTTTTTTGAGTTTTTTATTAAAAATTTGAGTTTTTATAAATAAATTAAGTTTTTTTTTCTTAATTTTTTTACTATTAAAAAATTTTATAATATAATAGTATGTACTTAAAAGTGTAACTGAGAAGACGTTAAACACTTATTTTTAACAAAAATTTCTTTATGCATCAAATCATTTTTCGAGGTAAAATTTAGGCATTTATTTTTGTATTAAAGTATGGTATTTGAATTACTCAAAACTTCTTTTAAAAAGGTTAATGTAGCCATCGAGTTATTTTTATGTGTAATGTGACCTTTTAACTAAAGGTTTATTTCAACAATCGTTACGGTGTTGGTATGATAGTTCACTAAGTTGATGTGGTGATCCATAATGACTGATGACGTAATAGATTAGTTAAATTTGTTTTTTCGAGTTTGAGAGTTAAATTGATTTTTTAAACTTCATGGGCTTATTTATTTTTTTAAAAAAAATAAAAATTAATTAAAATATTCAATATTAAAAAAAATTAAATATAAAAATTCTATAAAAAAATAATTAAATTACTAAAAAATAATTATATATATTAAAAATACAAAAAATACTATAAAAATTTAAAAAAAAAATTAAAAATATCATAAGTTATAAAATTATAAATTATTAAAAAATTTAAAAAATTTAAAAATTATATATATATATAATATATATACATGAAACATACAAACATAAAAGCAAATCAATCATATCTATATAGTTGAATTAATAAAGTCAATATGTTTTTAATTTCATATACATATCAACAATCACTAAAGATGACATGCACTTTTATATCATACATGTACGCGTATTAAACATTATTTCATTGTCACATATTCGTATTAGCAACACTTGTATGAAGTATTTTGACTGCATTAGTAAGTACTTACGATTTTTGCATCTAAATGTAGTTAGGAAACATCGTAAGATATTCGTATCAATGCACACTGTAAACATTCGTTTTCGTGTGAGACTTGTTTCTTTTTATTCTTATTGTATTACTTATTATTAGTATTATATTTATTATCCCATTATTATTATTATTATCATCATAATGAAAATAAAAAAGGTTTTATTGATAAATTTTATTTTACAAGTTCAATACACAAAACCCAAATATAATAACTAGGCTTCAGCCCATTTACAAGCACTCACGAGCCTACATTCAAATCGACCCAATGGTCCAAAACATTTTAATAGAAAGAACGAAAACTATAATCATCATTTTTTATCCACCGCTATTAATATATATATATATATATATATATATATATACTATCACTACAAGAATTACTTTTTTAGTGACGATTTAATTATGACACTAAAGAATTTCATCAGAAAAAGTATGTTATTTATGATAGAAATTACTCTCGTCACCTTTGAAATAAATAATTATGACTTATTTCTATTTGGTCAGTCTTTAGATAATAATTATGACCATTTTAATGTTCATCACAAGTAATTCGTCACTAAGAGTGTTTTATTGTGACCAAAGCAAGTTGTTATTATCAATTAGTCACTAATAGAATGCTTGAATTGACACTAACTTATTTTTTGCGAGAAAAATTATAATAGTGGAAATATATCAAGTATTACTACTATTATTTATAATTGTGACGAAAATATTTTGACACTAGGTGATTTCTAAACGACAATTATTTTTGTCACTAGTCTTAGTTGGTGATTTGCGACGAATATTATTTTTGTTACTATTGAAGTGAATACTTGTGTCATACTTCTATTTGGTAGCTAATAAAAAGCTTGAATTGGCATCAATTTTTTTAAAAAGGAAAATATGTAATAGTTATTACATATTACTTGGTTATTATTATTCATAATTGTGACAATAACATTTTTCACTAGTAAGCTTTTTATTTTATAATGGTTTACTTGTGACAGACTTAAATTACGTCACAAGTATCACTACAAAATAAATGTTTTTACTGACAAATTGATAACGACTATTAGTAATTTTGTCACAAATATTAAATTTTGGGTGGCAAAAATTTTGTATGACACTATTAATACAAACAATTGTGATGTATTTTTATTTCGTCATTGCTATAGTAATAATTATGATGATTAAATTTTTCTCACAATTAAATTCTCACTATAAGTATGTAATAGTGACACAAATTTCACCATGACAAAAATTTTTGACGCTATTAGAATACGTAAATTGGAGCCAATATTTTCCTGGCGAGAAACGATATAAAAGTGAAGTCATATAAAATTATCACTATTATTTGATATTTTTCGTAATAATATAGTCACTTAAAATTTTACTTTTTTTTAAGTATTGACATCAATAATAATTAAAAGTGTTGTTAAGATAAACTAATTTGTCAAAAGGTAAAATTTCGTTATTAGTCTCTATACTATGTGCAAATTGTGGTTTTAGTTATTATGCTCTAATTTGATCAATTTTAGCCCAATTACATTTTAAGATTTTAAATTTTAATAACAATCCAAATTGTATAACAACTATTTTATGACTAACAAAATTACCTTAACCTTTTAGATATATTCTTTTATGTTATTATGAATTTTATTTTTACTAACTATATAAATGACCAACGATACTATGAGCTTTGACAATGCCATTTAATATTCAATTATGATTAGTTTTTCCTTAAAAAAAATTTGACTAGTTTTTATATGAAATTTATGATTTTTATTGAGATATATGTGAATTTTACAAACACCAGTTAATTATTAGTACTTTATTTTTTAATTTAGGACTTTCACTGCAAGGGTACATTGTCAAACATTTTTATTTTATTTTATTTTTAAATATAATTTAAAGACAACTGGTATTATTTAAGGTTTAAATTTTAATATTTATATGTTTTATATTTTAAAATCAACCTAATTAATTTTAATATTTATCTTTCACGAATGTATTCCATATAAGAAATCATATAAAATTTAATTAAATTATTATTATAATAATATTAATTAATATTATATATATATATATTAAAAATTAATAAAATTAATAACAATAATAATTTAACCTAAATTTTATTTCTTTTGTCAAAAACAAATATTTCTTTCGTAGCATAGTGCTTAGGCTTTGCACTCTTTCCTGGTCCTAGATTCAATCATCTTACAAGCCATGCATTGTATTAATTTATCAAAAAATAACATGTAAAAATAGCAATCAATTGGTGTAGCGGGATGAGGCACTAGTTCCCTTAAGCAAATTGAGTTAGGAAAATCGCTCTTACCTATGTATTACCCAATCTAAATTTAGTTAGTTACTAAAAATCAGATACAAGTAATTATACAAAAAGCTAAACATGTAGAGATGTCACATTATCAACCAATCCAAGTTCTTAAAGAATATGGGATACAACTAAAAATGTAATATCTACTATATTTGATTTCATAATGAATCTTTTTATTAATAAATTTAATTATGTAGTTGTGATAAAATATTTATCACTAATAAGGATAACATTAGTGTCTAAAATTTTGTCACTATTATTAATCTTTCTGTGTCAAAAAATGTAGTCACAAAAAATACAAGTAATTATGAAAAAGTTCATTAAATTCGTCACTAAGTTAATAGTAACAGAGTTATTGATAATAGTGTCGACGTTTTATCACTAAAAAAATACTTAGTGTGACAACATTGGTCGTCACAAGATATACTTTCAGTGTCAAACAAAAATATCACAATTTCTATTTATAATAGTATTGAACATTAGGTCACTAAAAATACTTAGTGTGATAATATTGATGGTCACAAAATATATTTATAGTGTTAAACAAATTTATTACAATTTATATTGATAGTTGTGTCGAATAGATGGTCTAAAACAAACTAACAATTGTGACAATTTCTAGAATAATTATCACTGATATAATAGTGACGGAGTTATTAGTGACAACAAGTGACGACTTGAAATTTTTGTTTCTATGCATTTTAGTGTCTAAATCAAATGTTTTTATGACCATTTGCATTATTACTAAAGGTGTATTTCCTTGTAGTGTATTTCTATAAATAAATACCAAATTTATAAGATCAAAAATCCAAACATACGTATATATTATTATTATTATTATTATTATTATTATTATTATTATTATTTTTATTATTGCAAAAAAAGAAAGTCAAACTGAAAATGGAAACAAAAAACCCTGAATATCCAGGGCATTCAATGCCCTGGTTACTATACCTAAACTGAAGATATGCTACCACTGCCTGCACCAGGTGTTTGATCTGTTAATCCTTCAAGTGCACCATGTCTTAGTCACCCTTGTTATAACCTAAAAAGAAATAAAAAAATTGGGGTAGAAAATAGGGGCTCTCAATTACCTCATTCACCTCTATCG